CCCAAGACCCCGTGTAATGCAAAACACCTCAAAACCACTCCAAACAGCAAAGTGACAAACCAAAAAAAAAAACCTCTTGCACAACGTTCTTTATGAAATTTTGCTATAATATTCTAATTTTAGTCTTATAGCAAAACCCCAATCCTAACCTAAACGAACAACTTTTTTTAAAATTAGACGATGCTAAACTTGTACACTTATTTTAAAACATTATACGTAGTAAGTCATTTAAATCTATCATTATTTGCCATAGGACACCAAGTAGGCGTACTTAATCTATAAAATCTAAAATTATTAACTATAAGTGTCTTTTTATTCGTTAAATTTATTAATATTGACTAATCAAACGTATTTAGCAATATTAGGCAAATCTCCAGAGGATAAACATACGTACGTATCAATGTTTAAGATAAGCAAAATTATGTTAGTACGTATTTACATCCGTATGGACGTGTACGTATCTACGTAGTAAATTCATTATTATATTTTACAGGTTGTCATTGTTGTTTTAGTTAACAGAATAATGCTTAAGCAGGGATAATTACATTACATCACGTTATTGAAGCAAGATTTGTTTCATTCACAATCAAGAATTAAGGAACCACTGATAACTTCCAACGCAATTGCATAATCATTCATTCCACGGACTTAAGGTTAGCTACTCCGGTCATAAGTGTACACCAATATAGTAGAAATACTGTATTTCGAAGTTATTACAGAATTAGTTTACAAAATGCCTAAATGTATTGTTTCGCATAGCGACAATAATGGATATTCGGAATACGATCCGAGGTCTGGTTGAACAATTTACATTGCACTCGGAGAATTACGGATGGGTATTCTCGTAAGAAGACAACGTTTGTCGTACAAATTTAGAAAAAAAAGGATATAATAATTTACATCAATATCCTACAATTTTGGTATGTATTTATTTATGATAGGGATATAAAAGCCGATGATTGGGTAGTATGAGACTGTCACTATTAATAGAAATTTATTTTTCTGCGGATCCATTAAGCCAAACTCGTACGTATAAATAGCCAAATTTTTTCCGTTGAAAAAAACTTCAAAAAAAAAAAATCAAAATCAACAGAGGTAAAAAATTTGTACAAGATTTTGAAAATTTTGAATTATTTTTATTTTATTCATATTGGTTCTTTTTTATTATTATTATTTATAATAGTATAATTATCCTGATGATTAACGTAATGTCTTTTTGGTACAAACTATATGATGGAAAAGCAGTAACACCAGGAAATGACCTAAAAATCATGTACTATAAAAATGTATATGGTTTTAGGCACGTTCGTTACAACGAAAATCCCTACGCAGATCCTTATCACCCCAACTTTTACTTGGTACATGTTTGAAAGAAGGGATCACTAAAAATTTTCGTACAATATAAAATTAATTTACCATATTACCATTAAATATCTTATAGTGCATATGTATATACATTCATATATTTCATCCATTTATTGTATATTATCTTTAAAATTTTCAATATTTTATCAACAAGACTATTATATGCTAACATATTTATGTAACATGGCTGTTCAGTCGGCCCTATTTTATTATGATTTATTATTATTCATTTTTTATTTTTTATTTTTTTAAACAAAAAAAAAAAAAAAAAACACCGCTTGACGGTTCCTGTTCTTAAAAATAAAAAAAATTGATTTAATCTATTTGCGAATATTTGGTCGCAAAAATATAAATATCTTATTTTTTTTTACAATTTTTTTGTAGTTGAAATTGATTAATTGCTACGAACAGTAATCAAATTAAATAGAGCATTAAATAGAGCGTTGACTAAATAATCCCCTGCACGTGACCTCTTACGAGGAGGTAATTTGCAACCAGTAGTAAAAATTATAGCCAGGGAAT